CAGCTGCTGGGCAGCATTCTCTCCACCTCATCAGTCCTTAGGAATCTTCCCTCCAGCCCCGAGACTGGCTCCTGTGAGCCTCCTTCAGCCTATGCCGCCCACACACGCAGACCTGGTGGTCCAGGGGCCAAAGTACAAGGTGGACATAAGGGAGAATAGGTTAGGGGTTTGGGGGAGCTAGAATCTGGCAGGCAAGACCCCCAGGTGACTCCAGGGAAGATGTTATATGGCTTGGTTTTGCCTTTCAATGTGTCCGAGGGAAGGAAATGTGTATGTATTGATGGTGTCCAGCTGTACGCAGAACCCTGGGCCTGGCATTTTCCCAACATCACACAAAATTCTCCACAAGATGGAGAAGAGAAGTAACTGACCAAGGTGCCCGAGTCCATCTGAGGGAGAGGCAAGGGGCGACTCCTTCCTAGCTGGTTCTTCCATGGCTTTCCCATACACAGCAAGGGAGGGAGTCACAGTAAGATGGGAGCTGAGTTCAGGCTCTGCAAATTCTAAGTCGGTCACCTGCCCAGGCCCCAGCTGTCTGTGTTATCTGCTCCCACTTCTCCCAGGACACTGGGCACTGAAGAAGGCTCTGCAGAGTCAGGGAGAGGCTAAGCCCACCTGTCAGGGTCCCAGCAAGGAAGACTGGCAGGAACTTCACCTTCAGAGTCTTGGTTTGCTCGTCACAAAATGAGAGAATTGCAGCCTACACCCCAGGGCTGAGAAGTGGCCTGAGAAGAACATGTGTGAAGCCTAGACACGGTGACACAGAAGTGGCACTGTTATCCTGGGGATGCCCTAGCATCCTTGTTTAGGAACATAGTATTCTTGCTTTATGGAGGGGTGAAGACAGAAGCTCTCCTTGGGAGGGACCCTGTCTTGTTCCTGTATGTTAAGTGTGACTTCAGAAAGTAATAAACTCACCACCTTCCATGACAGCTAGATATATGCCTTGTGCACCTACAAGTTTAGCTCAGCAGTGTCCCAGACACTCTCTAGTGATGTTCAGTAGAGTTGTGACTCTATGAATCATGGGATGATGACCTCATGAAGAGGGACTCTTTAGGACAGGGACAACTGGGACACCATCCAGCAGCAGAGTCCGCCAGCCAAAGGCCTGCATCTCTCTTCCTTGCTTCCTGTCATTTTCCGTGACCCCTCAGTTCCCTTGCTGACCTGGAGTTTGCTTAACCTCTGTAAAAACATTTTCTGGAACCTCATTAGTCTTGGGGTATATCCCCTGTTCCCCATTTGTCTCATGAATGTTATCCTTGACGCCTATAGCTGAATCCCACAGTGCTAGGCATTCAGGGGTACTGGGACTCAAGGTCCTAATCCCTAATTCTTAGGGGTACAGTGGTGAGTCATAGTCTAGGTGTCTCTTTCTGTATGTTGTCTAGATAAGTGAAGATATCTAAGGCCAGACTCAGCACAGGAAGGCCCTATAGATGTGCAGAGCTGTGTTGTTCCAAATGCAGCTCGTCTGTAGGAGTGATTGTTCTAGAGACACTACCCTGTGCTGGAAAAGAAGCACCTAGTGCTGGCTATGGAACCGGAACTTCTCAGTTCTCAGTCTGGTTGGGGAGTTCATAAGTGTCTATTTTGTCACATATTTCCACTCTCCGAAGAACCCAGAGCAAGCCACCGTCTCTCACCAAATAGCTGAGGTAACTGGCCAAGCAGATCTCACCATGCCACCCCAGGGCCTCATTCGACCTCAGTTTCTTACCTGTGAGAGGCTCAAGCTCATGCTGGAATAGACGAAAGTTTTCCAGGTAGCATTTTGGACTGTGTTCCGTTATCTTTTACAAGGCAACCATGGAAGACAGACAAGCCAGCAAGGACCATATAAAATCGGAGGAAGCTCACTCCTCTCTCTCTTGATCCAGCACACTGCAAGCTTCCTAAGTCTGGGATCATCACATTCTCTCTCCAAAGATGGTTGCCTCTTTCTAGCTGTGTGGTGAGTTAACTTAGCCTCTCTGTGCTCACCTGTAGCATGAGGACCTCCCGAGGTTGTATAAACTGGCACTTAGTACTCAATGCTGATTGTAAAGCTCCCATTTGCATGGAATGAAGACTGTGTGGGGTGCCAACCTTTCTGAGTGATGCTCCAGGCTAGCTGGGTTGTGGGTTATGCCCATGAGCTATGCCTGTGGGAGGTCTGGGTGTCCCTGCAGTTTCCTGCTCTGCCTTCTGTACTGTGTGTCTCTCTTTATCACTCTGAGACAAAGCCCCAGAACAAGGCCCATGTCTTGACTGATAGTGACACTTCTGAGTGGGGATGTGAGCATGTGTGCAGCAGGTGGGCCCCAGGACAAAATGGGGCCAGCCTATCAAGTAGGCAGGGTCTGAAGCAGTCTAATCAGGACCTGCACAGTTGGGCCTCACAGCCTGGCCCACGGCACTGCCATGCCTGGGATCCAGTGAGACAGCAAAGTGCAGAGGCCCCAGGCAGCGGGAGACTACTGGGAGCATGTGATACACCCTACAATATCAAAACACCTCTGGACTGAGGACGTCCAGGTACCAAAAGCAAGACAACTTGGGTTATTACAAATGATATGGGACCGCCCCCTCAGCCCATTAGCACAAGTACTGTTAAAACAGAAGAAAGCAGAGGGACATAAAGCCACAAGTGCCATGAGGATGCAGAGGAGCTGGAACCTCAGACACAGTGGATGAAGAAAAACGGTGCGACCTCTGTATATTGGTTCCTCAGAATCAAGCCTCAAATGGCCATTTATTCTAGCGATGGGTCCAGAAGGCACATATGTTCACAGCTGGGTTATCACAGAATGTCTACCAACAGACAAGGGGACGAAGACATGTCACTAAGTGGCATAGTACTTAGCCTCAGAAAGGAGTGGGATTCCAACACATTCTGACCTTGGATTTGCAGTTGGCAGGACAGTGAGAAATGAATGCCTGGGTACAGCCACTGGGCTAGCCCCACTGCGTCTTCAGAGTGCTCTCGAGTTCTCCAAACAGTTTTTCAACAGAGGTATGTCCCTACCATCGACACACAAGGGACAGCAGACTTGGAGGAAGAAGGAACAGAGTCACTTCCTCGAAGTCACACCCTTGGAAAGTGCTGTCCATGCCCCAGACCCTGGATAAATGTGGAAGGAAGCCAGCCAAGTGCAGTGGCAGAGTGTGAAGCCCCAAAGGGGGTTGCGTGCCCAAGAAAGGGTTCTTAGAAAGCCTTTATGAGCTTTCTAAGCTCATAAAGCATGTAGTCACCCAGGGCCTACAGAACAGAGCCCCCAGGCTGCTCTGTGGCTATAATATGGATGGATCAGGCATTCCTACAACAGCCTCTAACACAGGCTCTAAAATTAGTGCCGCACACGGGTGAACCGTCACCTCGAAACCTCACAGCACACCTGGTGTGTGTGTGTGTGTGTGTGTGTGCCCGTTTCACAGATGGGGAAACTGAGGGTCAGAGGTGTGATGCTCCGTACCACATATTCTGTGAGAGGAAGTGCTTGGACTTGAACTCAGGGTTCACCTCATCCCAGAGACCCATTGTATCTCATTTTGTAGGTTGATGTGGCCTGGTTCTGGGAAAACAAATGCCTATCTCAGGTAATAGTGGTCCTGGGTTTCCCAGGCTCAGTGTGTATCCTTCACCAGAGCTCTGGGCCTGGGAGCAACTGTCGCATGATCAGACGTCTCAGGAACAGGCCCCTTGCCAGTGTCTCACATGGCCACCACCATGGTGGGAGAACACTGCACTCTACAGCACCTTCCCTCCCATTAGCAAGATGAGTCCTCCCCAGAGTCCTCCTCTTTTCTCATCTTCTCTGCTTCACCCTGTCTCTTTACATACCCTCCCCCACTCTCCTGTGTCACCTTATGGTTGGGATGTGGAACACACAAGGGAAGCTCCCTCCATTCAATGCGGGGAAAGCGCGCCCCCTTGTGGACAGAACTCTTCCCGTCTATAAAGGGCTCCAGCCTCACCTGGCCCAGGGTGAAGGGCAAAGGCCTCTGCTTTGCCAGAGTGAGCCAGCCTTTGATGTCACCTCTTCACCGGAGCCGGAAGAGCCACAGAGCGTTCACATGGAGTCAGAACTCCTGGGAAATAATAGGTCCCTGCAGCCCACTCCACTCAGCCAGATCTGGATCCTGGGAGGTTATTAGTGCCGGCTGGAGATATTTAAATACGACGCCACAGGCCGTGGAACGGGCTTAATGAGAACGCTGGCTCTGCATACATGAGTTTGAATCCCCAGCGACCATGTAAAATGCCAAACATCATTGTGGGTGCCTGTAACCTCAGCATGCAGGGAGGCTTAGGGCAGAGATACCGAGGGATTCCTAGGTCGGGAAGACTATTCTGTATAATTTGATTTTGATGGATCCGTGCCCTGGAGCTTCTGTGGAACACAGAGCGCAGCGTGTGAACCCCGGTGTAAAGTGTGTCAATATCAGCCCCTCGAGAGGAGTAAGTGTGCTCACTATCGCAGGATGTTAACAACTAAAAGGGCCCAGGGTGTATGGTTTATGGAGACTGGACTCTCTCTGCTTATTTTTCTATAAACTTAAATTGCTCCCCCCAAACCCCTATATAAACAAAACAGCATGTGTGGGATACAGACAAACAGGTAAGAGAGCTGCTACACTTGGGGGAATTCCCCGCCCCATCTCATGGTTTTCTGTCGCTGTTCTGGGGGAACTCAAAGAGCAAGGAACTTGCTTCCATGGAGCCCAGGAGTTCCAGACACACGGTTTGTGTGGTGAGATCGCCATCTGCTGGCCAGGAAAGACATAGCCAGTTGTGTTCAGTGTCCTTAGCTGGGAGTTAGATGCCGGAGGGAGGCGCTTAGGGTGCTCCCACCTCCTACATAGGCCTTGTGTGTCACATCTGATTGTGTCACCAGTAAAGACCTGGAAAAAGGTAAAACTCTCATGGGTTTATTATAGAAAAGTCCCAAAGTGCGGGGGCACAGCCAGGCCAGGGCTACCTGGAGGATTGGCCCCGGGGGTCTGGAGCAGCAGACAGGGAGGCACTTGCTGTTGAGGCTCCAGAGAAGTAGGAGCTCTGGCTGCCTGCCATCAGCCACCCTCTGTGTTCCAACAGCCTTACACACACTGTCCATCACTAACAGTTCAGACTCAGCAGTGCTCAGCACCCTCCCAGGCCCGAACACAACTGGAGGTAAGTTCTAATACAATCCTTTCTTGTTTTACATTCAAGGAACAGTAGACACAGAGTGGCTAGGTAACTTCCCAAAGGCACACAGCCAGTGAAGAGTGAACCAAGGCTCTGCTTTGAGAGTCTGTGCCCTACTGTGAGGCCGCCTTTGTCTCCTGGTTCCCTCATCTGAAAAGTAGACATGCTGTCCCCACCCTGACTTTGAAGCCTGTCTGGTCCGGAAGAAGAGCCAGGTATGAATATATTAACCCAAAGTAAGCGTCCAGTAGGAGGCTTGGGCAGGGAGCCCTGTAGAACCATGTGTGGCTAGGGCTGCAGCTCATACTGGCCTTCCGTGGCTGTGTAGAAGTCCTCCAGCACCGACTGCAGAAACTCGAAGGTGGGTCTCTCCTCTGGCCGGCCTCTCCAGCACTCAGTGATGATGTCATGGTACAACTCCGGTGGACATGTCTCCGGACATGGCATGCGATAGCCATGCTCTAGGCTGCGGATGACCTCAGGGTTGCTCATTCCTGCAGGAGGGTGGACAGGGTGCTTCAGGGCAGATGGCACCCCAGGGGTACAGTCACTGGCCCTAGGGGAAGTAGACCAGCACTAGATGGGAGAGAGCAGGCTCTGACACACTATGGCCAGTCTAACTCTGGAAGGTCACATAGGTGTTGGGGTTGTACCACTTTTTTTAAACAGGGTTTTCTCATATAGCCCAGGTTAGCCTTGAACTCAAGATCTATCTGTCTCAGCCTCCCAAGTGCTGGGATCACAAGCTTGAGCCGTTACATCCAGCTGTGGGGCCATCTAATTTCTTTTTCCTAATCTCTGTGTGTGAGTGAGAGCAGAACAATGGGCAGAGGGCAGAGGGCAGAGGACAAACTTCCAGTGTCTATCGTTGCTTTCATTTTTGTTTGAGGCAGGGTCTCTTCATGTTATTTGCCAATGCATACTCCAGGCTAGGTGGCCTTTGAGCTTCTGGAACCTCTCCTATCTCTCCCCCATCTCACTGTAAGAGTGCCGGGATTGCAGACCTGCTCTGCTGTGCCCAGTGTTACCCCTGGGTTCATGGGAACCAGGATCAGGTCCTCTGCTTGCCTATCAAGCACTACACACACACACACACACACACACACACAGTGGTGTTTATACACACACACACACACACACACACACACACACACACACACACACACACACACACACACACCTCTGAGCCATCTCTTCAGCCTTGGTGACTGGAAAGACTTGGTGACATATTTAAGGCTGCCTTTTGTTTTCCACCTCAGAGATCCCACCCTGAGGGCTGGGGGAAAGCTGAAAATCTTGTCCTCAACCTACAAGCTGTCCCCTAGCATTTACTGTGCTTGCTCCTGGGGATCCATATGAGCTCTGTGGGAGGAAAGGATGAAGCCTGTGGCCCTGAGCAATGCTAGCAAGGAGACAGAAGTCCACAACCAAAATACAGGTCTGTGCTTCCGTCCCTGTGGCAGGACCCTGCTCTGACCAATACATGGTACCTGTAGGCACTGAGGATGGGAGTCGCTGTCTGGATCTTCCAGGATGAGGGTGAGAAGTCCAGCCACAGTACCTACCTGGGTAGGGAACACGGCCATATGTGATAATCTCCATCAGCAGGACTCCGAAGGACCATACATCAGCCTTGATGGTGAACACGCCAAAGTGGATGGCCTCTGGGGCAGTCCACTTGATGGGGAACTTGGCCCCTGTCAGGAAAGTGTATTAGTTCCAGGAACTGCCAACTCTCCACCCTTGTCCCACAGCAGCCCCAGCTGTTGAGGGATATTTGTACACTGTGAAAAGTATATGGCTGTGATTGGGGTAATAAAGAGTTGCACGGCCAATAGTTAGGCAGAAGGCATAGGAGGGACGTCTGGGCAGAGAGAGGAAGTGGGAGGGATCACCGAGGTGCAGAGGAGATGCCAAAAAGAGTTGGGCATACAGGATGAAAGAAAGGTAAAAAGCCACATGGTAAAAATGTACATTAATAAAAGCAGGCTAGTGTAAGTTACAAGAGCTAGTGGGACAAGCCTAAGCTAAAGCTGAGCTTTCATAATTAATAAGTCTCCGTGTCATTATTTGTGAGCTGGAAGCCCAAAGAAAAATCTGATTACACCCAGCACCTTCCTGTCTTTCCCCCTGGGGATCTTGCAGGATGCAGATACACAAGGGTATAGGAAGACACAGTTGATTGCCACTATTCTAGGATCCTTAAAAACAGTGTCAAACCTTTGGGCTACCAATACATACTTCCATCTGGTTTTTTGTTTGGTTTGGTTTGGTTTTGGATTTTGGAACTAGGGTCTTGTGTATCCCAGGTTGGCTTCACACTTGATAGTAGCCAAGGATAACCTTGAACTCCTGACCTTCCTGCTACCACCTTCTGAGAGCTGGGATTACAGTTATACACCACCATGCCCTGTCTATACTGTGCTGGACAAGATACTGAGGGCTTTGTACATGCCCCAGAAGCAACTTGCTAACCAAGCTATGACTCCAGCCCTGAGCATATTTCCCTCTGGGAGGGAAGGGTCCTTGCCTATCTCATGTGGCCTTGTTTAGTGGCAGGGACCATGGCATGGGTGAGCCATTTTAACTGGTCTGTGCTTCTATCAGTCCTTTCCTGCAAAGGAAAACCTAACACTCAGATACACCTCTGAGGGTCACTGGGTTCTCCAGGCTGGGAGGAATAGTTCAGCATTCCAAGGCCATTGTGAATGAAGAATCCCAAGGTGCTCCTATGACTGAGGTGCTTCTCCACCCGCCTCCTTCTATCCAGGGAAAGAAGTGCTGAACCAGCCAGGAAAGGGCCAGCATCTCAGCAAACACAAGGCCATGGGTCTCCCTGCACATATCCAGCACCCAGGAGGCATTCAAGGGGCCCCAGGGAATTGAGAAGGTCAGAGGCCTTCCTGTGTATCGGGGGAGAGTATACTCACCCTCTTGGGCAGTGTATTCACTGTCGATGATCCTGGCCAAGCCGAAGTCGGCGATTTTGCAGCACAAGGTCTCAGACACCAAGATGTTGGCTGCCCGCAGATCACGGTGGATGGAATTCATGCGCTCGAGGTAAGCCATGCCTTCTGCGATCTGAGGGGACAGGCCACATGGTGAAGAACAGCAAGAATGGAGCTCACCAGCCTGTATGTGGGGCCAGCCTACATCCCCTAGGTGATGGGGAACAAGGCTGAGTGGGGAGGAGGGAGAGGAAGCACCCAGTCTCCCCATGAGACCAGCCCAGAGCTCAGGACAGCAGAGAAGATGTCATCAAATAGCGAGGGTGCCATCCCCACCCCTGTCCTTTCTTTCCAGGCAATGTCTCCAAGGTTCTGCAGGCCAGGAATAGCAGAAGCCTGGGGCTATGAGACAGGGAGAAGAAAGGATGAACAGTGTGTACAGGGATAGCAGCAAAGGACAGGCTTGACCCCCTCAGTGGACACTTCTCTCAGAGGAGACAACCATGCTTGGAATCACTAATGTTCAACAGGCTGTGTCACTTCCTTGGGGGTGGGTGTCACAGTTCTGTCTTGGAACTAACAAGCCATCTCTTAGACACACAGTTAGGATCAGTGTTGAGTGAGCTGATTGTGTTCAAGGCCCTGAACCTGCACCTACTCCAGGTGAGCACTTGGGGGCTGGGTGAGAGTAGAATCCAGGGCAATGGAGATGGAGCCTTGTCTGTTCCAAGCACCCGTGCGGGGTCATTAAGGCTTTAGTCCCTCACTGATGATGGATCAGTGACCTCAGTTGTCATCTGTTCCGGCAGGCTGCTGGCCTCTGAACAGACCCTCCTTGCTCAGGAACCCAGGTGCATACACTCACAACTTCTCTGCTACTGAGCCACACCCCAGCCCCTGGTCCTATATCTTTCTGTTTCCACATGCTCTGCTTCTCCTCATTTACTCATTAACTCCCTTGTGAAGACATTCAGCCAGTATGTATGTGCTAGTGTGAGGCTGTGAGGGCTGGGAAGCCGGAGCCAGCACTGGTGGTGCTCATATTGTTAACTAACACTGATTGATCCACTTAAAAAAAAAATAAAAACTACATAAACATAGAAGACAGTAGGCCAATCTGCTTCTGTGGAAAAGATGCTACAGGAGAGGGGAGCCAGTGCTCTCTGGTAGCTCTCTTCTCTGGTGTTTTGTACCCAAGGGCACTAAAAGGCTCGTTCATCCATCGATGAGCAACAAACAGCCCAAGAGAAGAGCCAATAACTGCCTTGTCTAGGAAAACCTTGGCAGACATGACCTCTGACAAGGGTGGGTGCTAGGCACTGAATAGGAATCTTCAGACAGGAAGAGTTCAGGGCAGTCTGCACAGAATAGACGGGGATGACAGGGCGCTGAACAGACACTGTCCTTGTGGCTGTGTCATGGAGAGAGCCCAGTTTTTCCTTGGGGGCGGGTCTTTGTGCAGTGGGATTAAAAGAGAATGGGCAAGGAGAGGCAAGAAAAAGGAATGGCAGGCTACCAACCATCAAGTGCCTGCCTCAAAGCCAGTGGCCAGGGTTCACTTTCTGCACCCATCCTACCAGCTGCCTCAGTAGGTCTCTGCTACCCCAGTGGAAAAAAGAGACACTGTGATCTCAGTTCCTGAGTTTGATACCAGGTGCAGATAATATGGGACGCTGTAGGAAGTTAAAAGTGGGCAAGCGGGCTTGTGGGTTAAAGTGTGGGCAAGAAGGCTCGGTATGTGTTGACAGTGTGTCTCACAGGCTGACCACAGACCACAGCCTTCTTGCTGAGAGTTCCAGTTTTTAACAGCTGCCCTTAGAGCCACCAGATGTGTCTTCCTGCCAGTTAGACCCCTCAGCTAGAATCCCCGGGGGAGAAAGATACCTCTCCCATCTTGAGACTGCTCTCACCTCACAAGCTGAAGAGTTCTATACAAGGGACCCAGAGGGAACCAAAGAACAGGACAGCTGAGGTCTGGAATTCCCTGATGGTAGACGTGTGTGTGTGTGTGTGTGTGTGTGTGTGTGTGTGTGTGTGTGTGTGTGTGTGTGTGTCTAGAAAGTTTTATCCCTTGTACTCTGAGTGGCTCATGCCTGCCCATCAGGCTAGGGCTATTTACAGGGCTGCATAAAGACTTAGGGGTTCTGCAACAGGATGGATGTATTGAAGAACAAAGTCATAGCAAAGCATATGTGCCTACCTACTAAACAGAATTCTTGCCTATTCACTGGCTTTCCAACATTGGTTGCCATTTCTACCCTCCCATCATGGCTGCCCAGAATTGGAACTACATTTCCCAGATCCCCTTGCAGTCAAGAGGTTACTGAGGCAAGTGGAGTGGGGAGGACATGCAAGAGCAAATGTAATGGGAATGTCCCTAGAGAAAGAAGGTGGGATTTTATCCCATCCCCTTCTTGCTGGCTAAGAAGAGGCAGGGTTGGGTGGTAAAGCCACAGCCTCTCATCTGTCCACCTCTAGGTGCTTATACATTTAGTACGTCAGGCTTCTATCCTTCACAACCCAGCCCACATCCAGCCCACTTCTGACCAACCTGGTCTCTCACCAGGGAATTCAGTATAGTCAGAGGTGGGAGGGTGACATTCCTCCCAGCTGCCTCTGCTTCATAGCTCACCCACCTGGGCTGACATGTCAATCAGCCTTGGAAGGGACAATCTGCTACCTTCATCTGTCTTCAGAAAATCCAGCAAGCATCCTAGGAAAAGAGAGACAGTAACCGCACAGTGGCTAGACCCTGGCTCTGCTGTTCTGGTCCATGGAGGGTCTGTCTATGGCTGAGAAGCCTCATACTTCATGGAAACACTCCCTCCCTAGACTTCCAAAAGTTAACTCTCAGTCAAGTTCAGGGGCTTGTCTGGGTCTCTTGGGTCAGCGGAACTGGAACTGAATGCCAGCTCTGGGCCTAAGGTCCTTCCCAAGCATGATGTTCCCATGTGTCTTCTTCCTTGGTCCACTTCCCTCCTTGATGGAGACTTCCCCTGAGGGAAGCATTATCAAGAAGACACCAGAAGGGAGAGCTGGGGAAGGTAAAAAATGTGACTCCTCCTCTGCCCGGTAGGTAGTCTTGAAAACAGCCTGGAGTCAGGCACCCAGCACAGTCTGTGATGCCGGCTCCCCTGGTGACAATTATTATAATTAGCATGGTCACACTGGGGACCCACAGGAAGCAAGGTGATATCAGGGCCACAGGAGGAGTGAGATCCTTAAGTAGAAGTTAGAGACAGGTCTGATCCCTGGCCAGCTGTCCCCTGAGGAGACACTGCAGAGGCTGCTGGGCCCCATACAGAGGCTGCCAGGTCCCCATCTTCCTTGTCACCCTTACTGTGAAATGCTCACAGGCTTGCCCAAGTTCCCATAGCTGGGAAGAGGTGGAGTTGGGTTACTAGGTCCACCTTTGGATGCCCAGCTGATGACTCTTCCTACTTTGCAAGGTTCTGTCCATTATAGTGGGGGGTCAAAATATGATGTGTGTGCTGCAGAAACAAAACCGAGGTTCTGGAGCACACTCCTGAAGCAAAACCCATGTTCTGGAAGACTGAGCTAAGAACACAGCTCCATGAAAATGATTCTACCTTGTTTCTTAGCCTCCCCTCTCATAAGATAAAGCTTACAGATCCCCCTAGAAACCCCCAGACCAGACAAATCCACCGCCATGTTCCACTCTTGTTTCTGCCCTCTAAGTCCTGTCCTGCAGAGAGAGGGAGGGCCCCACCTCTGGCCATGTACTCAGTGACAATGTAGATGGGCTCTCTGGTGACCACGGCATAGAGACGGACCAGCCTCTCATGCTGCAGGGTTTTCATCACATTGGCCTCGCCCAGGAAAGCTTCTGGAGACATAGTTCCCTCCTTCAGGGTCTTGACGGCCACCTTCACATTGTTTTTGTAATAACCTGATGGGGCAGGAGAGTGAAGGAGCCAATTAGACGTTGAAGAAAGCCCTTCACCACAGATTCAAGCCCTACTCTGTGTGGGTCCAAGGTCCAAGCTGGGACATGTAGTCCCTGAGAGAGATGATGGGAGTACAAGTCTTGTGTAAGATGCCAGCCTGTCTGTGCAAATCCCATGATGGATCCTCAGGCTGTGGTCAGATTCATGTAGTCTGAGGGACTGGGATGACACCCACTAATGGGTATAAGGCAATGGCTGGGGAGTGCTCTACCCAGAGTACTGAGACTTGTGAGGGCAAGGTCTGCAGCTCCCACTAGTGGAGCCTCAGTTCTGGGTGTGAGACTGGGAGGCATCAGAATGGGACTTTGAAGTTGTGCCCCGGATACATGGGCCAGAGCAGAATAAGACAGAGTCTGTGTTATGCTCCTACACTGCTGTAAGTAAGCAGCAGTGGGCAGCAGCTATGATGGAATGGTGTGGGCACTGGGACCTGAGCTCCCACTGTCACACACCAGCAAGTGTGACTTCTGCACAGACCCTGGAGCTCCTGCCTCCTGGCTCTTGGCTCCCAATGCCTGATGGATGGCTTCTGTCTGGGGAGTTGGAATAAAATGGCCGAGTACACATAAGTCAGCCACAAAGCTAGTATCCAACTGAGAATGAAAGAGGACTTGGCTTAAAATTAGGAAGAGCTGGATTCAATTCTCTTCTACAACAAGGATAGAGCAATGAGGTGAGCCCCTTGGCATCCGGGCCTTATTATCTGTAAAGGTACATAGCTGTGCCTCTGTCTCTCAAGGCATCTCAGGGAAGGGGGTGTGCTGCCCACATGGAGCTGTCTGCCTCCAAGGTCACTTCAGCTCAGGACACAGAGTAGAGAGAGGGGACCTGGATTACCACAACTCACCCATCCAGACTTCTCCAAACTGCCCAGACCCAAGTTTCCGGACCAGCTTGAGAGACTGCCTGGGAATTTCCCATTCATCTTGTGCCCAGGGATTCTGTGGGGCAGGGCTCACACAGGGCAGGGTCAACGTCTGGCACAAACCATCCCCTTTCTCTGTATCGGAGAAGAAAAGAGCAGCCAGCGGCCATCAGAGCAAACTTCCCTTAGGTATCACACTGTCCCCCGCTGGGTCCCTTGTCTCCTCCCTCCCATTGTAGCTGGCAGGGCATGGTGTCTGGAACCTGCACTCCCTGAGACTTCAGGTCCTTGCTACTTTTCAAGTAACCCCATGTCAAGCATTAGGCCACTGACCTTGGATCACCAAACCGAAAGTTGTCAATTCCTTAAGTCTATTTGGTGGACCCCCACCCAGTTGATTCATATAGTTTGGGACTCATACAATAAGAGAACCCAAGAGCTCTTCCAGGACCCTACTGCCTCAACACCTCTTACTGGAATAGTGCTGCACCAGGGCCTGGAGGGTGGGGAAGGTGATCCGAGGGGAGATGTAATAGCCACCGTCATCCAGTGAGCGGATCTTGTAGTGCTTGACCGTTTCCCCCTGGGTGGTGACATCCTTCACAGACAGGGAAAAGGCACCTAGGGAGTTAATAGACACATGAGAAGTGAGCAGGAATGTAAGCCCAGGACTAGGGGTGAGGATCCTGCGATCTGAAAAAGGTACCCCCAATTCGATATCCTGTTCTCAGCCATTTCAGCACGAATTCTCTTTCCTTTTGTCTTTACGCTCTACTCTCCTATAACACTCCCTATTGGCTGTCTGACCCAGACTGTCCCTCTAGTCCCTAAACTGCCAGGGAATGAGGAACTCTGAGGCAGACAGGGCTGTTTCTCAGCTGTACATGGGCCCTCTACTGGGGTGCCTGAGATACTGAGAAATGGAGGGTTGCCAGGGGACTTGGAACTTTTATATCTTTGATTTGAGGGATGATGACTTCTTCCCCAGAGAAATGGCGAGTTAGGGCCTCCAATTCCATGCCCTTCTGAGAAGCATAGTAAGCTGTTAGCCAGAGGTCTGTCCAAATTCACACCGTTGACATTTTCATATAGACAAGGAAGCAGGTGGCCAGGGGTCAGTACATAGGAAGGAAGAAGCTTCGGCTAAGAAACTTACCCTTGAGTCTTTATAAAACACCCCTGTCCAGTCCTGTGGCTGCCACAGAATCTCTCATTTTCAAACTCTTTATTTGTGATATAGGGGCAATGAATGGAGGTCAATGGACAGTTAGTAGCTGGCTTAGGGGTGCGGGGGCATCCTACCCTCTTTGTGGACACACCTTTGAAGAGCAGTCCCACCCTCTGCCACAAGGGGTCAGGCCTGGACACCTCTCTGCATGAGGACCTTGATATTGAGTGCGTAGGAGGGGGGAGGGGTTGATTGTTTTGGGTGCTTTTCTGTCTCAAGCCTCTTCCCCACTTGGGTCTTTCTCAGCCATTGTCCCTCACAACCTACTTTTGACAGAATGCCAGGAGGCTGCACACCTGTCCAACATACCCTGAGGTCGCCACGGCCCTTGCCCTGGACCTTAGCCCTCCATCGGATAGAGCAGACTTCCCCACTCCATCCTGCTCCTTGCAACTATGCCTCGGTCTCCAAGGCCCGATAGCAGGCTCTACTAAGTTCATTGTCCTCACACCAGCACAGTGAGGTCAAGAACTTTTCTCACCGGAATGCTGCACCTGTGCAGGCACCTGGCTCTACGCCAAAGTATTCCTTTCTTTTCCTTCATTAGATACAGCTCCTGAAGCTTGAAGCCCTCCAAGCTCCTGCCTACCTGATGGCAACTGGGTATTCTTAAAGAGCACCCCAACACTGTCAGCTCCATGTCCATGGGGCCTCCTGCCTTTGGGAAATGTCTGGGCTGCCTGGGGCATATGGAGAAGTACGGGTTTGTTTCTCTTTTTGTGTTGCCCTGGCTGTCCTGAAAATCACTCTGTAGACCAGGCTGGCCTCAAACTCAGAGATCCATCTGCCTCTGAGTGCTGGATTAAAGGTGTTCACCACTACACTTGGCTTAAACATTTATTTTTATTGTATGTATATGAGTGTTTTGCTTGCTTTACTATTTGTGTACCAGGTGTACAGGGCTCAGAGGCCAGAAGAAAGCATCAAATTCCCTGGGATTGGAGTTACAGACATTTATAAACTGCCATGTGGATGCTGGGAATTGAACCTGGCTCCTCTGGAAGAGCAGCAAGTGCTCTTAACTACTGAGCCATCTCTTATAGCTTCACTGTTTCTTTTTAAGAGGTATTATTTCTCTCTCTCTCTCTCTCTCTCTCTCTTGAGAGGGTTTCTCTGTATTGCTTTGGAGGTTGTCCTGAAACTCGCTCTGTAGACCAGGCTGGCCTTGAACTCACAGAGATCTGCCTGCCTCTGCCTCCCGAGTGCTGGAATTAAAGGCATGTGCCACCAATGCCTGGCAAGAGGTATTATTTCTACTCTTTTGACAGTTTTGACATTGTATGAGTCATAGTCATTTTCACTCACCATCAGCCTCTCTCTTCTCCTATCCTCCCCCACTGAACCCTTTCCTTACAGACTCCTTAACACTGAATACTCCATCAACCTTCTGCAAGACATTAGTGGATCCTCACTAATTGCAACATATGCAGCATTGTACCTAATACAAGTCTCTCTGTGCATTAATTGGGGCCCTAACCCAGGCGGGCGGCTGGCATAGAGCACCCACGCAGTGGTGGGGCTCGGTGGCTTTTGGCAGAAAGATTTATCCTAACAGAATGGTGTCATTGAGCGGAATGACCCCATGCCCCAAGGTTCCCAGAGAAAGAGGGAAACCTGCCTCTTTCAGGCATCAGGCATCAGAAAGAGGGAAAGCAACAACCAGCTGCTTGAGAAGCTGAGGGGCATCCCAAGGGTCACATGGGACTCTGAGGCAGCTCCTTGCTTGGCTTGCAAATGAAGGCTGTGGCTTTGCAATGCTAGGTGGGATTCTGCTTCGGAATTATAAGGAGCATGGGTTTGCACATGGAGAATCCCATGGTGTTGGATGAAAAACAACAGCAATGGGACAGCATTGTAGAAGGCTAACAGGGAGCTAATGTTTACCAAGGAAAAGAAGAAAGGACTCCAGGCAGTCCAATCACCTCTCAGGGAAGAGGCCAGTGGAGGAGTGAGGGGCTCTTCTAGATCTAGAATGTTCTGCCTTCTGGCTGTGGTTACATGAGGGTTTACTTATTGCTCTGCATAATTTATAATCACTCACAATTTTTGCATGCATTGTACATGCTTCCTATTTTATAATAAGAAGGGCATTAAGGAGCTGGGGTGTAGTTCAGTTAGTAGAGGGCTGGACTAGTGCTTAAGGTCCTGAGTTTGACCACAAAAACACGTGAGGTTTCTTTTGTCTCCAAAACAAAACAAAAGACATTAGAAAGGAGTATCAATTGGTTGTGGTGGCACATGCCTGTAATCTAAGCTCCCAGCAGAGGCGAGGAGAGCAATTCAAGGTAAAGGTCAGCCTGTTCTACATAGCAAGACTCTGTCTACAAATATAATAAACCAGGAGAGGGATGGGGAGATATTATTTAGAAAATGGCAGGAGGAGGGCAGGAAGGAGAAACAGTAACCCGAGGCAGCAACTTAATAAGTCAGGCAGATTTGAATCCCCAAATCTTGGCTGTTGGCCGCTGATTTTGTTGTTGCTATTATTGTTTGTTTATTTTTCAAGACCGGGTTTCTTTGTGTAACAGTCCTGGCTGTCCTGGAATTCGCTTTGTGAACCAGGCTGGCCTCCAACACACAAAGATCCACCTGTGTCTGCTTCCTGAGTGCTAGGATTAAAGGTGTGCACCACGCCGCTTCTAATCCACCAGTCATTGCTCCATCTACATCTAGACACAGGCCCCTCCTCAGCCTCCTGGGACCTGCCAGCCTCTGCCTGACATGCCTGTTAAAGAGTCGCTGAGCTTCTTGACTCTTCTTTTAAAATATTATTATTTTTTATTTATTTTATGTACCAACCACAGTTCCTCCCTCCTCCCCTCCTCCTATCCCCCCTTCTTGAATCTTTGTGGCCAGGGACTGGGAGCTATATAGTACTTTCCTTTCTCAGGCTCCACTGCCTCACTTCACTAGTTTATGACCACCGTGGCATAGGGCTTTCCACTAGCCCTGCCATCCAGGTCCCAGTAGTGTCGGTCTTGGGTCCAGGGAACAGCAGGCATAGACAGCCTCAAAGCCAGCTCCCAGGGACACAGGACAGAAGCCATCAGGATTCCTGCCCACTCTGGACTGAGGCCTCAGGGAGGGCCTCAGGATCACACACAGCATATGGGACGGTGAGGCCACCGGACTCAGGACTCACCTTTATTGCTCTCACTCTCTCTGATGAGGAAGGCACCAGCCTTGTTCATTGGAGCCAGCAGCTGCCTCTCAGCATCCTTCCGGCTGATGGTCCTGAAGAACCATCTGGAAGACAGCGAGAGTGGGTGAGCCTCAGAATTGGTGACACCGCCCCCAAGTCAATCCTGAGATGTTCCTCACATCTTGTTCAGTTAGACGCCCCCAAGTCCCTGCAACCCCATTCGATCCCACCTCCCATCAACTTCTAGGCTCACATTTTCCAGGACTGAAATGAGAACATGGGTTAGGTAACCTCTATTAGTGCTGGTCTGCACAATCATACCCAATCCACTCTCTTCCCCCTGCACCAGATGTTGTCACGAGGTTGCCATTTTTTTCCCAACGGTACTGCCAGAGGTTTTCTGGATTCCTTCCAAGTCCCCTCTCTTCAGCATGGGTCTTTTGACACTGTGGTCAGATGTAGAATATTCCCTACAGACTCGCACGCTTGAGTATGAGGTCCCCATACTCAAGTGGTGCCATTCGGGGAGGTTGTGGAACCTTTGAAATATGAGGTCTAATTGAAGGCCATAGCGGGTGGCACTTGAGGCAACAAGCCAGCTCCGATTCCCTGCTGGAGATCCATCTTTTCCTGGTCCACTGAGATGTGATAGATCCCCAGCTGAACATTGCTACCACGAAGAACTCGACCATGTCTTTCCCATCGTGATGGACTGTACTCTCTCAAACCATGAGCCAAAATGAATCCTCTCTTAAACTGTATTTTTTTTTAAATAGTGACAAAAGACATAACTGACACAACATGGTTCTGGAGAAACCCAGGGCCCACAGTGTGTGGGAAGAGAAGGAGGCAAGTGTCACCACCATGAAGTGGTGAGCGTCCATGTCTGCACCATGTGAGGGAGCAGGTGAATGGCCCAGGTGGACCTTCCCGGTGTGTGGAAGCTGGCGAGGAGAATGCTGAAGAAGCCCTCTGGGGACTGTCCCTGGAGGTAGTGGGAGTGGTGTAGGACATAGAACCTTGCTATGGATTCTGGAGAGGACCAGACACTGGGGATAGTCTCACCCAGAGAAGCCAGGAAGCAGGTTGTTCTTCTTTCAGATGGGAAGACACTCCCTTGGCATCCCTCAGAGTGTTAGAAGAGATCCAGAACCTCCGATTCCCAATCCCTCATCAAGGTCACTATTAGCTCATTTCCTGGCCCTGCCATACTCAGTGTGGCTAGAGCTTCCCTGACGACATGACTTGAGGTAATTTAGCCACCTACTTTTCTACTTCCAGGGTCTCCACTGGGGCCACAAAGTTGCTGGGCACATAGCCTTCTCTTCCGGTGATGAGTGACCTGGCCAGCCACCAGTCTCCAGTGCTAGTGGGAAGAGGGGGGAGACAGAAAAATGACAGAGACCCACCCAAGATGTTTTGGGCAGCTCCCAGCACCCCACAACAGATCCCCTTTTGGTAGGAGACAGGATGGCAGAGACGGACAGACAGCCTGGTGATCAGGAGATACTCTGTGAGTGTCCCATCCACTGTGCGTAGCATGTGACATACAGAAGGAATCACGGTGCAGAGTAGGAAGGGAAAATTTGTTCAGACAGCCCAACTGGCCTCAGGACAATGTGCTAAGCAGCTCCCATCTTAATGGATGGAACATGTCCAAAACTTATGGAATGAGTTGGAATTGGCTAGGAAAACAAATCCAGGAGGGCTGCTGACAGGGGAGAAACTGAAAACCTAGGTAGAATCAAAGGTTAGGGTACTTATGGGTTCAGCTCAAACCCACTGCAAGACTTTAGGAACAAAATCAGACCTTGGGGTTCTGTGGTGTATAGGCTTAAAGGGCGGGGGAAAGGGAGAGGGGGGAGGGAAGAGCGCAAGCGGACACTGGAGGGTGTCCTGAGAAAGAACACAGGAAATAAGCCAAATGGAGTTATTATGTGGGATCCAGAGAGGCTTCTTGGTAGAGTTTAACAGCAGACGAGAAGGCTGGAGGTAGAAATAACCTGGCCAGAAAGACTTGCAGGGGTGGGGGGATGGGGGGGATAATAGTGGCTCAAACTTAAAACAGTAGTCTACAAATTTACCTCTTCAAAACCTGGAGCTTCTCTCCCTTCAGCACCTGCAAGTCCCTGTCATTCACTGCCACATAATCAAACAGGGCCACCACAAAATGTTCCTCTGAAAAGAACAAGGAAAAGATGGCTACCACTGGGGTCCTCAACAGAGGTGGATGTCTGGGGGACTGTGTGGGACAAGGCTTCTTCCAACTCCTAAGAGGAATGGTGACAGGGAAGCCACGTGAGGCTACTCTTTGTACAACGAAGGAGGAATTCTTAGGAAGTGACACCCAGACACACGTCCACTCTAGCACTAGGCTGGCCCTCACTGCCTAGCTCATTTTCCTTTCAGACCTAAGGCCTGGACAAAGATTTGAGAGGGCAGCTACATGAAGGCAGCTGTTGCCAGCCCATGTCTGGGAGCCAGTAGCTAACTGGTCCTGCATCCTCTGAGGCATCCCTTCAGCATCCTTCCCCAGCCTCTGTCCAGAAGTCATGTGACCACTCTAGCCCTGCCCTCCCCATGGTGTTAGTGCCCAGAGCTTCCCAGTGGCTCTCAGGCACCTGTCCTTCCTGGCCCTCCCCTTTCTTGGAGGACTGTTGACATGCTGGAGGTCTTGAAGCAGCTGAGGGCTTGGGGACATGGTGGACCACCTTTCAAATGATCACTGTTTGGCACCAGCAATCGCTGAACATGTGGCAGAATCTCTTGGAGACTTGTAGCTTGCAGATGACCTAACATTGTTGTGGATGAGTGGTATGGCCTGAGGCTGGGACCTTCCCTTGGTGAGAAGAGGTTTGGTATGAATTACAGGGGTCAAACTTGTGCCAAAGGCTGTCAGTTATTTCCTTCCCCTGAGCCTCTATTCTAAAGATGACACACCCCCTGCTAGAAAGTGAAAGATCACCTATCTGATGGGAAAGATGGTGTCCTTAGCCGGGTAAGGGACACCAGATGGCAACACTGACCAGTTCCAGCACTTTGTCCACAACGGTAATAAGTTGATCTCTCCCAGGACAGGAGAGGTGTGTCCCCCACTGTGACATCTTCCCCTGTCCTGGAACACAGTGGTCAGTGTGCTATGGGCTCCGTATTCCCTGTGAGTGAATGAGTGAGTGAGTGAATGAGTGAGTGAGTGAGTGAGTGAGTGAGTGAGTGAGTGAGTGAGTGCAGGAATGGCTGGTTTGACTGGGGGATGGGGATTGCTATGGAAGCAAGTCCTGAATGAGGCCTGATCCAGGGAGCCCTCAAAGCCCTCAAACCCAAGGAGGCTTTTTATTATGTGACCAGCATAGAGCAGAGTGGAGCCTGGGACTTCCAGCACATGTGGCCAGAAGGTTTCCAGTGGAGACTGGACATAGGTGCCAAGAGGGAGGCAAGAAGTTGTCCATGGAGGACATGTGGAATGGACCTTACCTCTTGCTGAGAGGAAAGGACACAGCAGCAGTCCTTCTGCCCTTTTGGATCTGGGAGCTAGAGTCTCCAAGCAAGGCCTCAACAGTGTCAGATCCACTCCTGTAACCCCTTCCTTTGTCTTCTTTATAGCGTGCAGAGTGTTTTTTTAAGCTCCCAGCTTCCCCTACTCCTTTCTAGCCCAATAGGGCCCACCCCAAACGCTCTGGTTCTAACAAGATGTGGCTTGGAGAGATGCCCCAGTGCCCCATTCTTACCTTGATCTGGGAGCTGGTTAGGAGATGGAGGAGCAAGGTGGTTGAAGACAACCTTGGGCAGAAGCACACTGAGTTAGTGAACAGTCTGTAGGGAAGGTAGACTGAAGGACGCTGGAGAACCAGTTGGCGAGATTACCTGTGGGGACCCACTCTGAGGAAAGAGGGTGGCCACCATACAGGGTTACTTAGATAAATTCTGTGTACACTATCAACTCCTTGGAGCACCATATTCACCCCAGGCCACCTGCCATCCTTGCTTTGACCATGAATGGAGATGCTGCAGCTTCAAAGGGGAAAAAACCCTGTCACCTTGGTCAAAATTCTGGCTCCACCATTAAAGAAGAAGTTTCAGACAGGTATTTACTGGTAAAGAAAAATATCTTAAAGTTTTGTTTCCTTAAAACTCAATCAATATTCACTGATGTCTATCCAAAAGGTAGACTCCTGTGCATTTTTGTCGGGACACAACATAAGGATATGCCTAGTATAATAATAGTCACACAAAGAGGATTTTTCATTATGGGAATAGCCCTTACAACCTGTGGCAGAACGATGAAATAATGAGCTATTATCTACCATGAACCTGTGTGGTCAAATCTCATAAACACCATGATGGACCACGGATTTTATCCCCCTGGAATGGAAGCCTGAATAAACTTTTCTTGTAGTTGCCCCAGGCAACAGAGATGTAGCTAAGGTAGGTACAATAAGACCAGCTGCCTTAGACTCCTGCTGCTGTCACTTGACTATGATGGACTGTAACCTAGAACCATGAACTAAATGGTTGAAGAAAGGGCCTTGGGGCAGGAGGTCAGGAGAGACAATTCTAAGTATCTCTGGCAAGTGCTATTGTAAGGGACTATAATCTTTCTAAAGTTAGTATGCATTACGCAGCTTTTAAAAGTTAGGTTCTCGGCTTCTACTGGTTAGTATGTCACTTCAAGGAAATAATTTGACCTGTCTAAGTTTGAAGTTGTATTCATTCATTCATTCATTCACTCATTCATTCATCCATTCATTCAGTAAAAGTCTCACTGTGTGCACTTGGATACTGTAACACTTGGACACAGCTACAAGAGAGGCCAGGGTTCATTTATAAAAGGGAACCAGCAGTCTCTGCTCCCATCAGGTCTCTGCTAGAACCTTGGTAATGACCACAGTGACAGACAGACAGGGCAGGACATCAGACCAGTCATGGTTCCAATTGCCCCCAAACTAGTAGACTTGTGGCCCAGCAGGAAATGAAATTAAATAGTCATCTAGACACCAAAGGGGCTGGTTCAGGGAATACCTCATGCCTTAGACTCTCTCCTGGAAGGGGCTGATCACTTACCAGGGGTGGCAGGGGCGGGGGAGCCTTGCTCTGGGCCTGGGCCTTCACGGGGCTCCAGCCTTTCCCCCTCTCACCGCTGACTTGCCTCTTGCTGCTCAGGAGCCCCATTCTGTAGGACAGTACATATCAGAATGTGTCAAGAGACCCCAAGCCCATGGGTCTCTGCACCCAACCTTCTTTTGGTTAGAAATATGTGACAGCAAGCCGGGCGTTGGTGGTGCACGCCTTTAATCCCAGCACTCAGGAGGTAGAGGCAGGCGGATCTTTGTGAGTTTGAGGCCAGCCTGGTCTCCAGAGCGAGTGCCAGGATAGGCTCCAAAGCTACACAGAGAAACTCTGTCTCGAAAAACCAATAAATAAATAAATAAATAAATAAATAAATAAATAAATAAAATATGTGACAGCACAGCTCTCCACATCAGAGCATGGGAGAAGAGGCTCAAAGAGTTAAGCTGGTATCCATCTTTTTCTCAGTGACCCAGAGAGGGAAAATGACTGCTTAGGACACAGACATCACCTGGCATGGGTCCCAGTTTCTCAGGGACAGGATCCTTGGCAGAGGAGTCATCTTGATCCCACGGGAGCCTGACCCCATGGTTTTAGTCTTATTTTGCCAGTGGGTCACTATGTCACTGGGATGTCCCCCTTCTTCCCTGGGCTTATGGGCTCCTCTGCCAATGGTGAGGTTTTATTTGAGCATTTCTAATAGGGTGCTCTGTAGCTGGAGATTTTGGGTGAGATGCCATATGCAGAAGACAAACTGACAGCTAGCATGGCAGGCACTGAAGGCCAACCATAGTTGCCCAGTAACATTGAAATTTTGTGTAGAGGTGACATCATGGTTAAGTTTGTTATTTTAGTGAAGAATCTTAGCAGATGTGGGAAAGACTCAGATTCAGACAGCAAAATGAATACATAATGTTTTCTTTGTTATTTTGATTATTGATGGGGTGAGCGTGCAGATTTAAAAAAAAACAAGAACAAAATAAAGATGCGAAGAAAAAAAAAACAGAAAAATTTAAGACTGTATGTGTGACTGTTAATGTGAAGCAATGCCCCACAGAAGATATTTCTAGAATGTTAATAGTGTTTACTTCAGACGGCAGGGCTTCATATGACTTTTATTTTCTCTCTTGTAATTTCCTATATTCTCTGAACAGTTCAATAGTAAGTATATACTCTTGCAGAAGAAGAAAAGTTAAGAGAACATCTTAGTATTTTGCCTTGCAACAGTGGCACTTAGGAGCTGGGAAAGAATAGTTTTTGAATAGCAAGTGGGTGGGTCTCAAGCCTTTCCTACTCTCCCCATCTCCCAGGCTCAATGACAAGTCAGTGGGCAGCAGATTCTAGAACCTTCTCTGCACTTGGAGATCTTCTGCCCCTGTTCAGATGACCACATTGTTGTTTTCCTCCATCTAGTCAGCCATCAAATCTGAACTTTCTGGGACAACATGTCCACTTAACCAGCAAAATTGAACATTTAAAGACCCTGACAGGAAGTTCAGCTCATGACCCACTACTTACATTCCATGAACAACTGCCTTTCCAGGGCTTCAGGAAATGCACAGGTTCTCAATGAAGACTAACAACAGACTAGTCACTCCGAAGGCTGTGTGACAACTTTCTTTGTGACTGGGCTCAGACTAGCCCTGCAGTTTCAGGGTGATTGGAGACAGGAAGTGTGTAAGTCCACCCAGGCAGAGGGAACACATGTAACCCTGGTGTTTCAGCAATTGGCTTCATCCAGTAGAAAAGGGCCTCCCTTCCAAGAAAAGATGGGAGAAGGATGTGAGTCTATGTGTGTGTGTGTGTGTGTGTGTGTGTGTGTCTGTGTGTGTGTGTGTGTGTGTGTGTGTCCTTTGTAGTTTACCCCAAAGAGGACAGGAGACTTTTGTTGCTTATAAACCTACTTGATCCCCATGAAGAATCTCATAAGAGCTTGGAGGTCCCTGCTTGCCCCTGGGGAGGTGCTCAAAGCCTGAAACCAGCCTCAGCCCAACGGGATGTGGTGAAGGCAGCAGTTAAAATCAGAGAGCAGATGCCCCTAATTTACACCTGTGGTGTGTGTCATGGTTGAAAAGCATTCGGCACCTCCAGTTTTGATGTTTGTGATAGCATCAGTGGCCTGGCTGCAATAGTCCCTGCATCTGAAGCAAGAGATTCAAAGAGGCTTGAAGGTGGCATGGAAGTTGGCAGAGCAGCAGCTTTGACACTGTGTCCAACTCACACCGGAAACAGGTGGACAGGTGACCTTGCCAGGACAGTCCAAGTTCAGATCCCTGCTTTCTCCCTTGCAACGGATGCCACCTGCCTACAAAGCTTTCAAAGCCACTTCTTGTTCCAGTGACAGTGGCTGGGGGTTGAGTGACCAGAACTCAGAAGAGCCTGTCCACTGGCTTTGTGAACATGGGCAAACCATTTCAATTCTCTTGGTCTGTCTCCTTGTCTATGGGAAGGTATAAGTCCATTCCTAGTACCACAGACAAAGCCTTCTGAAGAAGGTGTCCTCGAATATAGCTGAGAAAGTTGGATAATTGACCTCTCATCTGGGATGGGGTCCAAGAGTTCTCTTTCTGCAGAATTAAACCGAAGCACGAAATTCTCAATTCCATCTTGTCCGTTTGGCTTGCCTCCGCAATCCATTTCCAGCTGGTCACAAATGTATTTTAATTATGCTTTCCTGTGACAGTTGACTATGTCTATTTGCATAAAATAAGGGGAAAGGGCACAGAAATATCTAAACAATTGTGTGAACACTGCTGCCTGGGTAAGAACAGTTGTCCTGACACTACTGGGCTGTGGGCTAAGCAACTGCTGCTCCAGGGCAGCTGTGACTTCTCAGTCAGTCACTCCCTGACTGCTCTGCTCTGGGCTCAGGGCACAGAAGATGGTTGGGAAAGTTGATGCATAAAGAGCAGGTATGTAGGTTTAAAATTAAAGGTCAACAGATTATACATAATTAACAAACGTTGCCCAGCGCATCCTACTCCCAGCCAGATGAAGACAAGGAAGAAACAGGGATAAACACCAAACAAACATTTTGTCCTGTTTTATTTCCTTTATGTTTTGGATTAACACAGATGATAGCCTGTTTTTGGATGTAGATAAGCTGGTGAGTGGCCTGTGGGAGTCACAGTTCTTTCCCTCCCCGGGGCTTTGCAATTTCCAAGGTGGTCTGAGATGTATTGGGATTGTCTGTCTTTTCTTTGGGGGCCACGCTTGGTATAAGAAACCTGAAGGTTTGGTAGTGGATTGAAAGACGGTGGCCAGTGGGAGCCCCTTAGACCAGCAAAGCATTGAGCCGTATTGGATGTGCCTGCACTGGCACCACTAATCCAGAAACTCATACTTGTTATTCTAGAAACAGGGGAACCTGACTGAAACAAATATCACAAATGAAGTCATTTTTAGGGTAAACGGTATCAGGTCTGTCTGACTTCAATTCATACTTTTGAGTGGCAGGGGCTGTCTGGTGTTAGATGCCCCATGCGGTTACCCTGGCACGATACCCACAGTGCACTGTTTTGGGGACCACACAGTATAGTAAGTAACGGTAAGAGTGTAATTGTTTGCTGTTTGGTAGGATGCTTAGGACTCCAATGTGTTAATTGTAACAATGACTATTTCTATCCCCAGTGTGTTGTTATAAGGCCTGAATTAGCATTACTCATTATCAGTGCATCTTAGTACAGTGCCCAACTCACCTCCATGTCTAACAGACACCGCTCTGTTATGCCAGATACAGGAACAACCAATGGTTACAGTTCCTTCAGTAACCATGAGAGGTAAGTGTTCCTAGTCCCTTTCTGAAGATGGCAGTTAGGGACAGCAGAATTCTGCCTACCATCATGCAGCCAGGGAATAGCAAGCCCAGGCTTCAGCACAGTTAAGACTCAGCATTGTTCTCCCTCCACACCTGAAGTTGAAATAGCCCTAGCCATGGCTCTCAATAATCTATAATCTTTTGTTCATTTTGTCTCAGACATTCCACCCCTGCTAACAATGTGCTGTGTCTCACACAGAAGAAGGTACAGAGCTCATCCAATATGCATCCAATACTTATCTCATGGGAGCTTCTTGCTTGGTTTGCCCTGAGATTCCAACACAGTCATACCCAATTTGTGATCACTATTCTCCTGCCCCAACTTTGACTAGTTCCATTTTAGTGATTTGTAAAATACAAATCCTATAGAATGTTCTATATTTTGGACTTTGCTTCCTTGTTATGGTTTGTAGCCCCCCTCCAACACCCTCCCCCGTCCCTGCTCTCTGTCTTTCTTATACATGGAGCCAAAGCCACAGGCTCCATTTGATTTAGATGCATCTTTTCCTGGCAGGGATGTTCCCTAAGGGTGATATATGCTATATAGGAGGTACAGAATGTAATCATGCTAAGATGGATCAAAGTTCAGGTAGTCTGTCCCCAACAATGCTCTCATCTGATTTTTTGTTGGTAGATACAAAAACTAGCACTCCAATTTCATCATGGGTTTCACATTTGTTAGTCGATAGTTGAGAGAAGAAATGGCCAGAATGTGATTGCCAATCATAATCCTACCACAGGCAGGTATTTTCCCAAGGACATTTGAGGCAGAAATGTGTTCAGAAAATGAAGATCTTGCATTAACTGGATTGTAGAGTGTATATTAGAACTATTTAAGGGAACACAGTAGAAATTGTGTCCAATACTTTTTAAAGACTAATAATTTGTGGCTGAGGAGATTGCTCAACAGTTAAGAGCACTGGCTACAGCTTTCAGAGGACTCTGGGTTGATTCTCAGTACCTAAATGACAGCTCACAACAACCTGTAACTTTAGTCCCAGGGGATCTGACACCCTCATCTGTGGTGCACAGACATACATTCAGGCACGGCACAGACAGACAATATTTTTTTTTTTTTTAGAAAGCTGAACACTTCTGATAGCTCAAAGTCATTTCCCATCAAGGTAGATTAACCATATGTGCCGGTTAATTTTATGTCAACTTGACACAAGCTGAAGTCATCCAAAATGAAGGAACCTCAACTAAGAAAATGTCTCCATAAGATCAGGCTGTAGGCAAGCCTATAGGGCATTTTCTTATTTAGTGATTGATGGGAGAGGGCCCA